CATTTTCAAGATATTGATTCTTCCTAACCATGAGCATGGAACATTTTTCCATCCGTTTCTGTCCTCTCTCATTTCCTTGAGGAGTGGTTTGTAGTTCTTCTTAAAAAAATGTTTTATGTGTGAAAAATATTTTTTAAATAAATTGTTAAATTTTAGAATAGTTTTATAATATAAGATGTTTGTAAAAATCTTATATGCCTCATATCCAGATATATTTCACCTATCATTAATATCTTCTGTCAATTGCATATGTCATAGTGAATAATGATATATTATCATAAACTGAAGATCACAGTTTACTCAAATTTCCTTAGATTTTACCTCATTATTTCTCTGCTCTAGGATCTCACATTACATTTAGTTATGACGTCTCTTTAGGCTCCTCTTGCCTGTGATGGTTTATTTGACTTTCACTGTTTTTTGATGAGCTGGATGACAGTTTTGAGAAATACTACTCAAGTATTTTATAGAATTTCCCTTAACTAAGATCTGCTTGATGCTTTCCTGGTAATTAGACTGGGCTTATAGAATTTGGGGATGAACAAAACGAAGACAAAATGTCATTTTCATCACATCATATCAAGGATATATACTATCAACATGACTTATCATTGTTGACGTTGACCTTGTCACCTGGATGACAGAGTGTCTCTCATATTTCTCCAATGTAAAATTACTCTTCCCTCATTTTCCATACCACATTTTGTAGAAGAAAGTCGCTATGTGCAGCCCACACTTAAGGAGTAGAAAGTTACGCTCTACCTCCTTGATAGTGTTTACTAACCTGTACATGTATATGTATATGTTAAACTAAATCTAAGTTCATACTGATGTCTCTAATTCTAATCCATAACCACATGAATTGTTCATGCATGATTAATGACTCATTTTTAATAACATTGTCACCACATTTTGTGCCAATACAATGCCATATCATTTACAAAGATGGCGTAATTTAAACCTGAACATAACTTTCTGGGTAAATACTATTGCTCACATTTAACAGATGCAGAAACTGAGGCACTGAAAGATGAACAGCTTCTCTAAATTCACATAGTAAGTGGTGGGGGCAGTATCTGAGCCTATGTCTTTGAGTTTCCATATTCATTCAATGATACAGAACCAATATCTCTACATTCATTTAAGACCGAGAAAACTTCAGTTCTGAGGGATTTAAGATGCAGTTGTAGTTCCCAGCTCTCTTCGAGTATTATTCTACTCAAACCTTACCTCCTCAATGCTCCTCCCTACCCCAACCCCCCCAGGGTCCTCTTCCCATCTGACATGCAAACTGGAAGAAAAGTTGCCAAGTTACAACCCGACTTGACAGCTCAAGAAAATGGTGCTGGTGCAAGGGCAAGGATCAGCTACTTCTTACTCCATGACTTTTCAACCTCTGGCTAACCCCTGCTGTGTATTATCTGGGGTTTTGGTAACTTGGTAGTAATTAACTCTGAACAAGCAGCTCTGCTTTCATGGAGTTAAAACAAGCACGGCATTTTTTTCCTTGTTAATTAAATCATCCACAGGAAGATAAATGTGCAGCCCATGCTTGTATCTTCTAAAATATCAAAGGCCTTATTAGTATGTCTTATGTCCAACCTTGGACTTTTTCTCCAGATTCCTGGAAGTATCAGGAACCTGAAGGTAGGAAGCTGCTAAGTATTTCACTTACGTGGTCATTCTTGCACTCATTTATGCTTTTTGGGTGATCTAGAAAGAGGCAACCTGGATCGAGCACAAAATGTTTCAGGGAATGTTGTCTCCATTAAACTACTAAATGGGAAACATAAGAAGTGAGCAGACAAGAAGAAAGAGAATCCTTTAGATCATGCTGAAAACCACTTTTTAAAAAGCCCACAGCCCCCTTTGGTCCCTGTGTTCTGTTTGGTGAATTTTTCTTCACAGTGGCAGTTTTATTTGCCAGAACCACAACAAAGGGGGTCCTTGAGTCTCCCTGGGAGTGTTTCCTCAGACCTGCACGTCTCCTAGACCTCACAAAGGTGTTATTGTTGCTGGGCTCCCAGCACCTGAGGGAGATCAAAGGCACTTTCCCATGCCAGCATGACCACAGTCTCGCCCTCATGACATAACATTAAAGCTGATGATTAATCCCCTTGGCCCAGAAGGCCCCTTCCCACTCCCAAGTACAAAGCAGGGTGGGGGTGGGGACTTTATTTCCAGCACAACACAACCATCATAAACTGGCATTTTATGGCCCTCATTCATCGCAACCAACTGCAACTGCCCATCAAACTCGTTAAAGCCCAAACAGTTGTTTCATGTGAGCCATTTACATCACTAGGAAAGTTTCATAAGAATCTCCACCATTTCTGAGTGTCTGCTATGTGCTAGGTACAAACCTACCTAATACATGTTACTCAACAACCCTGTGAGACTGGCATCAATATCCCCAATTTGATGGATGAAAAATCTGAGGCTCAGAGAAGTTAAGTAGCTCACTCAGGTCAGAGGGCCAAAACGTGCATGAGCAGATGTCCAAGCTTGCCTCTGGACAACATAAAAGCCCATGCTCTCACCATTCCTCTATGGATACATCATATTCATGCACAATTTAGGGAGGCAAGGAGGTGTATGAGTTTTGGAATCACAGTGAGATTTGAGTTTTCAGCTCCAGAACTTCAAAGCTTTGTGACTGGGAAAATTACTGGACTTTCCTATATTTTAGGTCCAAATGTAAAAAATAAACAGAGTAGGGAAAGCCAGTCTCATCTCCTTTGAGAGACAGTAAGACTGAGAAGCAGTGCATCACAGAGACACTTGCATCCATTTAGATTTGCTTCTGTTCAGAAATCGGAATTGAGTGGGGTAAAAATGCCTGAAATTCAGGTCTCCCAGGAGAAGCCTGATTAGATGTATTCCTGTGAAAATATGAGATAATTTAAACAGGATTAAATCAGTATTCAGTGGAGACAATCTAACAAGTGTAGACTCACATCAAGGGAAAGAAGGGCAGGCTCCTGGGCTGATGCCTTCTGGCTTAGAGGCCTCAGGCCTCTGCAGATCTCTCCCTTCAGGGACAGCTAAGCCTTATAAAAGGGCTGCTGCGTGGAAGAAATATGCTACAATTTTTTTGTTTGTTTTTTGTTTTTGAGACAGAGCTTTCACTCTTGTTACCCAGGCTGGAGTGCAATGACACAATCTCCGCTCACTGCAACCTCCGCCTCCAGGGTTCAAGCGATTCTCTTGCCTCAGCTGCCCAAGTAGCTTGGATTACAGGTGCCTCCCACCACGCCTGGCTAATGTTTTGTATTTGTAGTAGAGATGGGGTTTCACCATGTTAGCAAGGCTGGTCTTGAATTCTTGACCTCAGGTGATCCACCTGCCTCAGCCTCCCAACGTGCTGGGATTACAGGCATGAGTCACTGCACCCGGCCAAATATGCTGCAATTTTTAAACTTAGACAAGTTCCATTCAAGACTGCCTAGACCCCAGACAAACAGTCCAGTAGGAATGTCACCTCAAGAAGCTTCTGTCAGCCTTCACCCTCCCAGGCAGAGTCAGCCACTGTCTGTTTTCTGCTCAGTAAGGATAACTCCCCTAGTGATTAAGAGTGAGCCCTTGTGATGTGCTTACTGACCTAGGGATGGCATCCCTAGGTCACCATTCTTACTACTACTTATCACAGAACTCCAAGGGTGAAGGAGAGGATGACTGGGAGTGAGTTCCTAGTAATAGAATGCCAAATAGTAGAGGGTTTCCCATAAATTGTAGAAATTCAGGCTGGTTAATATTACCTCATTTAATCGTCACAGCACTGAGACAGATGCTGTCACTCTCTACATATTGCAGATGAGGAATCTGGGGCCCAGAGAGTTTAAGTAACTTGCCCAATGGCCCATAATTAGTAAACTGAGGAAGTGGGACTGGAAACTTGGGCTGGCTCCCCCGCTATACAACATGGGATGTCACGGGCAAGAACACCTCACAGAATACACTGGCACATGATGGATGCTTAGTATCATGAGTTCGATTTGTAGCTACATTCAGGGGCCTCGTATTATATCGTAATACCTGTTATGACTTCATCTCATCAATGGTAGGGTCCATGTCATTCTTATATCCACAGTTTAGCACAAGAGCATAAGTAAATAAATACATGTATTCGTACGCACTCAACCAAAATATCCGATGGTGAAAAAGTCTCAGAGATCCCTACAGTTGCAAAGCAGTTTCACATCCCATATAATTTCCTTTATAGCTGCTCTGATTCTGCCCTGGGCTGTATCTGCTCTAATCTCTGCTCATCTCCCTCTCCTCCCCCACTCTCCTCTCTATTTTACTCATCTGGGAAAATTCCAAAGAGTTGTCGATTTAAGTTTAACAGAGTAATGACTTTTAAATAAAAATATGGTAGAAATGGGTACTTATCGGAATGGAATGCTTTTAGACTCATGCATTTAAAGAAGATATAAATTTTAGGGCAGACACTAAATTTTAACTGCAATCTTAGAGAAAGCCTTTCCACTAATTCATGGAGAAAAATTAACAAAGTGAAAATTGCTTATCAGTGTTCTTTTGAAGTCATGATATGCAGGCTAATTCTATAGATCATTAGGACGCTCCCGGGGAGATAGATTTATATTGATTGAGAGAGAGTTCCATGGCCAAGGAAAACAGACACTCTTTGTGGAGAAGACCCCACTACCCATTAGGGACAAATCAGTCTGGAGGAGCTAGACTTTGCCACCTTGGGATCAGACGTCACCATTCATGCCTGGGCTCTCTGGCCAGCGTGATGTCAAAAAGAGCACTCAATCCTTGTCACGCTTATTAAGAATCTGGCCCCTACAAAAAGATCCAGCAAATGTAAGCAAGGGTGTTAGAGTGGGGAGCTGGGCTTCTGGCTAGACAAAGCACAAGCGGCAGGCAGGGAAGAGTGGAAAGAAGTGCAGAGGTAAAGAAGCCAGCACTCAGGGTCTCCTCCCAAGCTGCCTCCTGCTGTGTGGTGGCCTTCCCTTTGTGCTCAGTGGACTCACCCCCATGTGACAAGAAGACGTTCCACAGATGACAGCCAGCCGTGACGTCACTGGCTGCCCCTCACAGACGAGGCCGTGCCCTCTCACATCTGCCCCAATCACTCCTGTGAGAAAGGAAAACAAAACCAAATCCTCTTTAACACATAAAAAAGAGGGAGAGAAAGCGAAAAACAGTCATAAACAAATCTTCTTTTTAATAGTGAAACAACATGCAGGAAGAGTCCTGTGTGTCTGGCAGTCTCAAAGGGTGTATTTGCCTGCGTGGGAAAACTAAGAAACCTGCTCAGATTTTGCTTTGTTCTGATCAATGTATAGCACCCAATGTTATAATACTGACAGTAACTGTGATTGTCATAATAAAAGCAGCAGTTATCAGTTATTTTGTGCTCACTAAATGCCAGGCACTATACTACATATTTGCATACATGGTCTTATTTAACACCATCATAGGTATTATAAATGCTAGACATCAGAGGAGAAACTGAGGTCTGCAGAGTTTAAGTGACTTGCCCAAGGTCACACTGCTAGGAAGAAGCACAGCCAAATGGAATCTGGTTTAACATATCACATCTCAATCCCAAAGAAGCAACAGCAATGGAACTGTCTGATGACTGAATCTTTTTGGCATCCCTAGGTCACCATTTTTACTACTACTTATCGCAAAACTCCAAGTGTGAAGGAGAGGATGACTGAGAATGAGTTCCTAGTAACAGAATGCCAAATAGCAGAGGGTTTCCCATAAATGGTAGAAATTCAAGCTTCTTCCCCACGGGGCTCATATTCCTTGATACTTGCAGGGCAAGCGAAGTTACAAATGTGACAAGAGAGCTAGGAAGACTGTTTAGGGCCTGGAATTGTACTCGTTTTCTCAAATATCCAACAAGCCCCTTCTATGCACAAAATGCACTATACTAGGTGTGATGTGAAAGCCACAAACCAGACATGTAGAACTATAACACAAAGCTGGGGGTGGAAAGTGCTCAGGCAGGACACAGACACTGGGTCGCAGGAGAGAACAGCTCCTGCTGACCTCATCAGCTCCCACGCAATGCCACGTTTGCTGTCAATTTCTGATCTTCGATGCTTTTCCCCACATCAAGACCTTCATGCTTGTTCTTCCCTCTGCCTGGAATGCCATTTCCCCAACCTCTCTGTCAGGCCAACTCCTATTTAGAGGGCTTCCCTGATCCTCTAGGACAGGTGATTCTCCCTGTTAAATAGTCTCATGTACTGGACCTCCCTAGCACAAAAGACACTGGTAATTTCAAAACATCATACAATCATACATCCCATCTGCCTCCCTTCTATAATAAAAGTTGCTAGGAGCTGACACTGTCTTACTCTCATGCTTAGCCTAGGACCTACCACAGTTGCTAGCTCAAAGCAGGAAGTGAGAATATGAATGCTTGGGAATGCAAGGATGAAGAAGGCAAGCCCCTGCTTGGGAAAAACAGGAATGCTAAATGGAGCATTTCAATGCAGGGAAATCAGTATACCACAGGAAGGGCCATAAGGCCGGAAAACCTACCTATAGGGGCCCAAGGAAGTTCAGTCTATACTAAATTCTGCAGAACTCAGCCAGGTAAATGGCAGGGTGGGAGTGTCTCACCAGGCCACAAATTCCCAGATATTGAAGGCACTGCCTGCTCAGCAGCAGCCCTTTCTAGAAAGCAATGTGAGAAAAAGGGCAGAGACAAGCCTCTTACAGCTTTCAAGGGTTTTCCACTGCTTCTTCCAAATTCTACCTTCTGGGGCACAGCAACTTGTGAATGTCTGCTATTGTTCAGAGGTCCAGCAGCAGGGGGAAGTAAGACTCTTTCTGTGTTAGTTATCACAGTAGTTAGATATCAACAACTAGGTGATAGAGGTCTGAGACTTTCATCTGCAAGAATCCTTGGCCCATGTGTTTTCAGATCAAGTCCCCTGCTCTGCTCAGTATTGTGGGGCTGCCCCTGCAGGCAGCACTTCCCAGACTCAAATCAGCCAAGGTTGGCCCTGCTGGGACATCTGGGGCTGGAGGAAAGGGAAAGCAAGAGTCTACCTCCTTCTCTTCTGTCTCAGGCAGGAGCTGCTTCCCCTCCACCATTTGGGCTCTGGTGGCAGGGCTGCCATGGCTCCAGCATCTGCTGGTGCCCTTTGCCCTTAGACTGTGGGAACACCACCTCCCTCCTTAGTCCCTCCAGTCTGGGGATGGTAGCAGCTTCCACTTTACTGATCTCTGATTTGCTTCAAAGGGAATGTAGCCCTTCTCAGCTCCTCTGTCATCAGAGTCACCATTTTTTGAGTATCAAATTATCTGGTTTTTAAACATTTAGAGTGGTTTATGTCTGGCTGGGTGGATCTTGAGTGATACGATTCCCCGTTCAGGGTACAAAGTCTTTTGTACAGAAATAACCCTAGATATGAGCTCATTTTAACTGAGCTCTTTTTACATGCTCTTTCTATACATGTCCCATTTTATTCTTACAACAAGCTAATGTGATAGGTACTAGTATTATCCTCATTTGACCGATAAGAAAACCACAGCTTAGAAATGAGCAGTAACTTCACCAGGGTCACACAGCTCACAAGGAACAGGGCTGTGATTCACATTCAGGTAATCTGATTTCAAAGTGCTAGTTCTTTGCCACCAAAACTCAAGGGTTTTTCTCTAGGATAAAAATCCAATAGCCAGGCAGTCAATATTTACTTATCTATATATCTCAAAATAGTGGGATCTTAAATATATTGATTTTTCAGATCCATAATAGCAAAGAAGTTGGCCACTGCTGGTCCACAGTTTCATAAGCAAGTTCGAGGAGTTCCTGAGAAACACCAACATTTACTGGTTACATACACAAAAAATACAGGCAAAGTTAATGTTACAGAGTCACTCAATCCTTAAAAGGAATTAAAATGAAGGAAAAATACATTTGTAGGAAATATTTATTTGTTTCTTCTCGGGTTAGGAGATTCATTGCTGCTATATCTAGATTTAGAACTTGAGAACTAGTGTGCTATTATGAGAAAAGGATAAAATTGGGAGACAGAAGGACCTGCTATAAAATGAGGAAAGTAACAACATCAAATGGTTGCTTTGATACTGCAGAAACGCTTTAAAAATTTGATTAACGGTAGCTCTGTCAGCATCAGCACCACTCTCTCCATTATCTCCATCATCATCATCATCATCATCATCAACATCATCATCTGAATCCCCTCTCAAGAGACAATTGGATTCTTCCTTCTTTTCTAGTAAACATATCAGACATCAAAGATGGGCTGGATACTGTGCTAAGCTCTTTGAATGTTCTCTCATTTAATCATTGCAACATCCATAAAAGGTAATATTCTTTCTTCCTCTCAATAGATGCAGAAGCAGAAGAACAGTGTTCAGTTAACCTGCCCAAGGTCACACAGATTGAAGAAGCAGTGCCAGGGTTTGACCTTGTTCTGTCTGACTGCAAATCTTGGGTTCTTTCTACACTCCCTCACTTTATGATGTTATAATTGTCTCATATAATGAAAACATACTTGGAAGTGCTAGTTCATCATGAAACACAGTGAGAGCCATGGGCTAAGAGTTAGAAAAAATGACTATTCTGCCACAAATGGCCTAAAAGTTTGAACTGGTTCTCTTATCTCCACAATGAGAAAAGTGAACTACAAATGGAGGTCCTTCCTCAGCCATTCTCAGTATATACACAGTTCTTCTCCTAAAATATGAGGTAAGATGTCTCCTTATCTAAAATTATGTATATTGAGCAGTACTAGCCTGATTTCCCCTCAAGAGAAGTTCTCTATGCTCCGCCTAATGTCCACCCCAATTCAGCAGCCATGCATAGCTGATGTTCACTTCAAGACCACATGAATAGGAGAGCTGACATTTTTCCTCTGGCCACACAGTGCTTTGATGGGCTATTCCTGAGAAAAGAGGTTCAGAGACAAGCAGAGAAAAGGAACAAAAGGTGGGAGGAGCTGTCTTCTTTCTAGAGAAACATATTTTGCAATCCATAGAGGAATCACAGACTGCATCTGTATATCAGGAAACAATTCACAAGATGTGATTTTGACACAAGTGCAGCCCTCAGTACTACTGGGGCCCTTCATATGATGATATCAGTGTCAGTTTATTCTGCAATCCTTGAAATGTTTAAGGGGCAAAATTAGCAGGTCAAGAAATGGGCATAAAAAATAGTGACATTATTAACTGTGTTTTCCCTGAAACTTGCACAATGCTCAGCCGATGGTGGTGGCTCAATTAATATTTGTTGAATTAAAAAACAAATAGCAGAAAATCAGGCTTACTGACTCAATGAATTAAATGTCTGCCACCCCTCAATGCAACACATATAGTTCTTACCAAGCAATGTTTAAAAAGAATGTTAAAAAAAGGAACATTTAAAACTTCATGAACAGTTCTCTTATTTACTTTAATATGCTGTCTCCTCCTTTCCTCTCTCCCATTCATTCAACCAACAATATGTCCACCCAAGCATTGAGTACCTACTAAAATGATGTAAAATAAAAAAGACTCTGCAAATGTTATGATTAAGAGTACATTTTCCTATAATTTATCAAGCTACGGCAGTTTTGAAAGCTTACAGGGTTATATAGAAGAAAAACATCCTGAGTTCTCGCATTTGTGTTATAATTATCTCCCACTTTTATAGCCATATAAAGTACTTTATAGCTTGCAAAGTATCCTCAAACACTGTAACCTTCAATTAGTCTTTAGAAAATCCTGTGATATGATTTTATTTCCAGTTCACAGTTGAAGAAATTGAATTTCAGAAAGGTGAAGTAATTTAGTTGAGTTTATTTAGTGACTTAGAGGCAGAAGTTGGGCTCAGACTAGGATTTTCAGTCTCTGAGTCTGATGTGTTGGCATCTTGAAAAAGATTCTCTTAAAATAACAACCTTAGGCACCTTCTCTGAAGTCTCAAAAAGGATAAGAAGGGTTTTGAACATTACTTAAGACTATATCAATTTGAGACTCTTGATTCAGCCATTTGGATGAATGAACAGACTGATAAATCATATCCAATGAGTTTCTTGCCAAAGCTGGCTGGGAGGTTCCTGGAGAGGAAAGTCTCCAGAGAACGCTCTCAAAAGACCACCAGCT